TGAGTATCAAGCTGATCCATCAGCCATAAAACCTCTAGCATTAGACACAATTGAAGCAGTAGTTGTCTGCTATGTTACCGTAACCAAAGTTTGATCAAGACAGCTACTCTCTGCTGTTACCAAAAGCAAATATATAGGACGAAAAGGGAAATTTTATCTAAAGGAGAGGAAGCAATTCTTTTATCTTGGTAAGCATCGCCAGTTGTTACCATAAGCAAAAATATAGGATGAGAAGAGAAACTTTTATCTAAAGGAGACGAAACTGTTTATTAATCTTAGTAAGCATCGTCCAATGCTCGTTACTCATTAGATATCCTAAGAAACCTCAATCATATACAAATATACTATTTAGATTATGATCTTATCAAAAGTTTCTTGGCAAATGGTCAAGGCTGTTTGAAACTATCTAATCTCATCCAAAAGTCCAAATAGGACATTCAAGCATACCTAAGATTGGTCCACCAACATCAGATATTCTTTATATAGGTTCTTGAGCGACCTTCCATAAACTGATTGCTTTTTATCAAATTAGCACCCCCACTGTGGATGCTGAATTAGGATAACCCAGTAACTAAATCTCAAGTTCTAAAACCGAGAATCAAATTGGAAGAGATTCCTACGTTTATCTTTTACTTTAGTTAATTAAAATATTTTATTGATCAACAGAAGCACGTGCATTCATGTACACAAAATGATCAGAATACACATATAAAGTTCATAGCCTATACCATCTGAAATGAGATGACAAATTAGGTGTGTGCATCTTCTAGAATTCCAAAATTTTATCTTGAACATGTAACCAAATTCCTTTGGCATATCATTGAGATGCCTGTAAAGTTTGAAAGAACATACTTTTACAATCTTTCTATGAAGCATGTAGATTATAGAGTACAAATGTTTGCAAACCAAAGGAAAACTTTTGATCTCTAAGAAAACACAAAACACATGAAAAACATGAGATATCCTTCACTCATAATGAATGCTCACACCAGCAGTCCTTAAGGATAAATTGAAAAAGCTCTCGCAAGCTGGAAGCAAAATGCAAAATCCTTCAAAACCTTGTGTTTATGCTCTGTGATTCACAGAATTTTCAGCTTGTTTCTTTCCTTTTTTCAACCTTTCTTATCGAGGAATGTGCTTGTAGCGATTCTTCGCACTAAATAGTAAATAGTGAATGGTAAAATTCAAACTCTTGGCACATATTTCTCTTATCAAGCTCCATGACAGTGCTTTAGCTCGAAAGAGTCATCAACTTCTTGATAGGTGCTTAATACTGCAAAAGGCAATGAGAGCACAAACAGACCAACAAGACCTAGGTTCACCTGAAGCCATACAAGTCCAGATATCTACACTAATTAGGCAGATTCACTAAAAATATTTTCTGGTCTTGACTGCTACTTTTGATTTAAGAAAACATCTATCCAAAGAACACTAACCCCCCTCGCCCGTCCCATATCTATCAATCAACTAACCTCAATCCTATATTAGTAGGGGTCAGCTATGTGAATCCATTGTATCAGTTCCACCGGATTCAACTCATTTCTGCATGCTTAGATGGGAACATCCTAATGAATGGTATTCAAACGATTCATCGAATTCAAACTATCTTTACACCAGCTATCAACCTACCGCAACCCTCTGGCCATCAAAACCAAAACCCTCCATCTTTATGCGGGCTTATACAAAGTTACAGCCATTTTAAAAAAGATCCCTTTTCTCATCTTTTTATTTTAAGACGATCAGCAGAGAACACAGAAAGCTTAATGTGGATAACAAAGAAAACAATGTTCTTCCAGTATAACCTTAACAAAATTCAAGCATAATGCAGATACAAAAATTGTTCATAATTCCAACTTTGAACACAAAACATCTCCAATCATACCAAATAATCAATTTCGCCCCAAAAAACAAAGTTCTTCTACTTTCTTAACAATCCAAAAAATAATTACTGCAATAACAGAGTATCAATTCTTCAATTTCATGTCCATTGAACCTAAAATTACAATCACATACCAAATCTGAACAGAAAATCTCCAATAATACCAATTTACCCCAAAAATAACATTTTTTTCCTTCTTAACAAAAAGTTAAAACAGAACTTACAAGTCAAAATAAATCAATGATGTTCAGAATAATTGGTACTTGCTTCTCCTCCATGATCCCGTTTAGAACAGCAATGATCCCCATGATCATGATGATGACTCTTCTTAGATGGGTCATTTTCTTCGGCGTCATCATCGCTATCGTCTTCATCAAAAGGCTTTTGTTTGTGGAAAATGCAACATTTTTTGGAACTTTTCTTGTTGAGGAATTCATTGTCCACTGTCCCTGATTTCCATGATACTCTCTTCTTTGGCTTCAGTTTCAATGTTAGGGTTTCGATTGGTTGTTGCTGTACTTGCGATGATGATGATGATGAGGGTGCAGATTCTGATTGGTTTTCTAGCGTTAGGGTTATCGTCGCCGTTCCGGTCGCCGGCGGTGCAATTTGTCTCGTCCGTGTGGCCATTGTTCCGACTCTAGCCTCTCTCTCTCCCTTTCTGAGTCTTTGTTCTTTTATGGAGTACATAAAAATCTAAATAAATTGGTTTTAACTATAAAACTGATTTTCATTACTCGTATATACTCTTTTTGTTTCATACAATTACTATTTAGATTTTAGAGGTTAAAATACGTCTTCTTGACCAATTTTTGTAAATAACTTTTGAAAAATTTTAAATTATTAATTATTGTGACGTATTGCACTTTAAATGTTATTTTAAAATATATAAATTTTATTTTAAATATTTATAAAATTATTTTTAATTTAAATAAGTTCACTATGCACGATACGTTCAAATAATTTAAATTTAGATGAAAAAGATTATGTAAATTTCCTTTAAGAATTTTTCTTTTTTTGGTAATTATAAAGACTTTATTACCAAGTGAAAAATATTTACAAACCTCTAAAGCTGGACAAAGGCCCCCAGCTTTAGTGTTTTCCAATTGCAGCTCTATTCCAAATTGCAAGATCAGTCACATTTAGTCCTCCAGCTGCCTTGGGCATACAAACTTTATCCCATGCTAGTAGTGATTCCTTTAATTTTTAATAGTAACTTTTAGTAATAAAAGGTATTCAGAAATTACATTTTTGGGGGAAAATTGCATAAAAGATCTTAATTAAAGAAATTTTTAACGATTTCATATAAAATAAACTAAAGAGAGTACCATTGTTAGACTAAAATTACTACTTTCCACATATTATATTACTACTCTAATTTAACCAAGGACGGCAAGTGTTTAAAAAGATGTCTATTTTTATACATAAAAGATTTGAAAATAACACAAAGATATTTTAAAAGGTCATTTTCTTCTATTCAAATCGTAAGTAGCCACAATAGATCATTTTCTCGGTACTGCTTAAAGTACTTAAATTAGGAAGGTATCTATGTTATTCAAAACAAAAATAATTCCCCTTGTCCCCTTAACAACAACGCAAAACATATATATATATAGAGAGAGAGAGCGCATGTTGAAAGAGCAAACAAGGAGCATGAATAAACGATAGGATAAGAGTGGGAGAGAGTTACAAAGATCATTCGTGGAGGAAGAGTTATAAGGCCCTTCGGCCAGAAATATATATATACTCGGAGATTATGGTAGAGGAAAAGCTAAATACTTCATTTCTATATGTCCTATTCCTGTTCTAAAGCAAACTTATTTATTGTTTGATTATATTTTTTTGGATCATACTAACTTGTTCTTAGCAAGAGATATTTTTCTCGTCATGCCGACATAAAATGTGTCAAAATGTATTTCAACTCCCTTCGGATCAAACAACCTGATATGGTTGGGTGCCAACACTTTGTTAGTGAGTTGAAGAAGAAAATGTACTTTGTAACTATTGAAAATGATAAAATAGTTGAACAATTTGCAGTTAGACAAATTAAAAAGTTAAAAGAGAAAGAAACTAAACAAAAAAAACAGGAGGCTCAGATGCGCTATTGTATCGTCTGACATCAGACTTGGTGAAGACCCATAATAATCTCACCTGTCGCGCAATTATCATCACAGCACTCACAACTTTGCACCAGCCGGGAATCGAACCCGGGTCTGTACCGTGGCAGGGTAATATTCTACCACTAGACCACTGGTGCTTGATGAAATACCCCTCCGTTTTTATTTATATGGATTATCACTAAGCTATTAGTAGAATACATAGATAAAATGAAAATGTAAGCTATTATTTCAGTAAAAACTTGGTTGGAGATAGCTTGGAAAAGAAAGTATGTCGTTTTCTAGTTGATAAAGAATAATAATTAAGTTATAAAATTAATTTGTTACAGATTTACCAGTTCAACCGAACCCAACATTTTGACATGGAACTTAGATATATATATATATATATATATATATATATACGGAAAATTACTAAAATTTCAAAATAACTTTGAAATCATAATCATGAAATTATAATGGATTAATCAGTAAGAACATAGAGATTGCACCCATCACATTTAAATCCTGGATCCACCTCTGGTCCTGAGATGTTTTAACTTTCAGGTGGATGGAAGCATTTCCAAACAGGAGTTATTTGCTCAGATTGATGGTGCAGATAGACTTATTAACCTTGTTTTTCCTTCCTTTAGTAGATAATATTTAATATGGACCAATGTTAAGAATTACTCCCTCCGGTCCAAAATAAGTGATTTTTTAGATGTTTTCACACAAATTAAGAAATTCACTTTTTAGCATTAGTTAGCAATGGAATTGACCATATTAACCTTTACTATCTCACATAAACACTCCTAACACATATTCCAACACCATTTACTTCAAGGACAACGTAGGAAAAAAAATAATTAATTCATTCTTGAAATCTGGAAAAATCACTTATTTTGGACCACAAGAAAAAGGCCAAAAAATCACTTATTTTGGACAGGAGGGACTATAAAAACTTCTCTTTCAAAGTTAAAATAAAAGTTCCTTAACCATGTACATTTTAACTTCCACAGAACAGATCAATTGAACCTCTCAACTTTCCAGCCACAACAAAAAAGAAACATTTCATTTTACACAATTCAACTTTTACACAAAGAAAGTGGAAAATCATTTCACATTGGGATAATTGTATATATATATATATCAGATACCTAAAACTAACTTGAGAATTATAGTACTACATAACAACTATCAACATGAGAAAAAAACCACAGAGGGAAACTAGACCTCAGAAAAATTGTGCCCCTTTTTCTCAGATTTGCTTGAAGATCTAAATGTTTAAGGTTCAGCATCAACAAGCAACTTGACAACTTCTTTCATGTTGGGGCGCAAATTAGGAAGCTTCGTCGTACAAAGTGTGGCGATTCTCAACACTTTGATCATGTCTTCCTGAACAAGTTCAGAAACCACCTTCTGATCAAGAACTTTCACAATGCTTTCCTTGTCATTTAAATGAGTTGAGGTCCAGTAAACCAAGTCTTTTCCTTCTCCAAATGCATCTTCTATTGGTTTTCTTCCCGTTACTAGTTCCAATAGCACGACGCCAAAGCTATAAATGTCGCTCTTTTCTGTTACTCTGAGAGTATATGCCATTTCTGTCAAGCAAACAAATAAGCAAACAGTTCTTTTAATGTTAGAAGAGTTGCATTTCATTGTTGTGAGGATGCAAATACAAGAATGAAAGGTATCAAGAAGAGCCAAAATGGTCATTGAATTTCAGGTTTTATTGAAACTTACCAGGAGCCATGTAACCATGAGTGCCTGCAAAACAACTGAGCTCGGATCCCCTAGAAGAAATTTCTGAGACTTTTGCAACCCCGAAATCTGAAACTTTTGCTTCATAATCCTCATCAAGTAGAATGTTGGTTGATTTAATATCTCTATGAATAATAGGAGGGCAACAATCATGGTGAAGATAAGCAATTCCTTTTGCAGCTCCGAGTGCTATTTTATATCTCTGGTACCAATCTAATTCCGGCTTCCCAGCCTTGATCTCTCGGTGTAGTGCCTCGAAAAGATTACCATTTGGCATGTACTCGAAAACCAAGAAATTTGAACCTTCTTTCATTAGACTTGCATACAACTTTACTATATTTCTGTGCCTGATTTTCCCCAAAATTTCCATTTCCCTTGTCAAAACTTTCACACCATTCCCTTTCCACAGCTGTTTCACAGCTACCGTTCCACATCCTTTCTTCAAGTCTAACCGATAAACTTTTCCTGTACCTCCACTCCCAATCAAATTGTCCTCGTCGAAACCACAAACATCATCTGCATCAAATTCCACATGGTGGAAGTTCTCTAGCTTCCATTTTGGATTTGTTCCCTTGGCTTCCTCCAGTTGTTCTTCAGGATCTGCTTCATGACTATGCTTGTAGTTTAGGTAACTGACGAGCAATAAACCGCCCATTAGAACAGCTAACGAAAGCAACACAATGCAAAATACAACTAGTTTGTTTAACTTGTGTTGAGCAGCCCTTCCACCACAACCCCCCAAGCCCGAGTTCATTGAGAATTTGATGCTTTCGTCAACACAAAGTCCCTTGTTATCAGCAAATGCCTTATCTCCTCCCATTGTTAAAAGATCCAATAAAACTTCTCCTGATAGCTGGTTGTTAGAGAGATCCAACGACGACAGCTTCAGATTGTCCAAGCTAGTCGGTATTTTACCAGTGAGTCTGTTGTGTGAAAGATTCAAAGAGTTCAAAGATGTCATTGTCGATAAAGAATTGGGAATGCTACCTGTAAGAAGATTTGAAGCAAGATTCAGGTCTGCAAGCCTAGGAAATTCACCCAATTCTGATGGGATTGTCCCTGAGAATGAGTTCTTCTCCAAATGCAAAGATGAAAGTTGCTTCAGTTTACCAAGCTCAGAAGGTATTGCGCCGGAGAGTTCATTGTTATCTAAGTACAGCCTTTCCAATAGTGTGAGTTTCCCAACTTCTTTTGGAAGCTCACCTGAAAATCTGTTATTTGATAACAGTAACTGATTCAAGCTAGTAGCAGTCCCGATATCAGGAGATATAGCTCCACTGAACTTATTATTACTGAAATCCAGCATCAACACATTTGGAAGTCCCCATACAACATCAGGTATTTTCCCAGAAAGTTGATTATTACTGACCCTCAATCTCTGTAAAGGCTTACAAGAGGAATAAGTACTTGGAAAATCCCCCGAGAAACTGTTTTCGATAGCTAGCAAAAACTGCAAGTTCCCATTTTGGCACAAGTATTTTGGGAATGCACCAGTAAATTTGTTTTCAGATATGTCTATGCTATTCAGGGGCGAAAACCGACCAAGATTTGCTGGAAATGCCCCAGAAAAACTGTTCCTGTACACAGAAAAGGCGTTAAGATGCTGCATTTCTCCAAAACCAGGAGGAATTTCACCAGAGAAGTTATTCTTGAATATTTGAAACACTGTTAACTTTTTCAGGTTCCCGATTCCCCGAGGCAGCGCCCCGTACATCTGGTTGCTAGAAATATCAAATTCCTGCAAAAGAGAGAGGTCTGCAAGTTCTACAGGAAGTTCACCTGTCAACTTATTTTGAAACAGCTCAATTTTCCATAAATTTTTCAGCTTGTTTATAGACTTAGGGAAATTCCCAGAAATCTGATTTCTTGAAATATCCAAAGTTCCTAGTGCCTCCATTTCGAAAATGGATTCTGGGATTTCTCCTATCAAGTTTGAGCCAGCCAAGTAAAGCCAATATACTTTCTTTAAATTCCCAAGAATCTCAGGAGTTTTACCTTCAACAAAGTCATTATCCCCTAGGCCTAATGCAACCAAACTAGTCAAATTTCCAACCCAAGATGGAAACTTTCCTGAAAAGTAGTTTATAGACAAGTCCAAAACTTCTAAGTTAGTCAACTTAGATAAATCAGGTATGGTTCCATTCATGTTATTTCCAGTGACATTCAAGATTTTGAGATTGGTGCAGTTGGTTATTTCACTTGGAAGGTTCCCTGATAAAGAATTTGAAGGTAGTACCAAAGAAGTGAGGCTTTTGAGTGAAAAAATTGAAGGGGAAATCACCCCAGAAATGGACTTATTATCAAGGGAAATTTCAGTAACAAGACCAGTCTTTTGATCACAAGTAATTCCATTGAATTTACAAGGAGTTTCTGAGTCTTTCCAAGAATCCAAGTAATTCAAAGGGTCATTGAGCTGCTCTTTGAAATGTAAAAGGGCCTGAGTTTCAGCAGTTAAGGACTTGGATGGCTGAAAAAACAAAACAAAAAACAAGAAAGTGGCAAGAATTTGGAGGGAGTGGAGTTTTTGGATTCTTGCCATTGTTGAAATTGGAAAGGGCAAAAGGGTCATTTCATGAGGGGGAGACAAATCCAATCAGGAGCTCCATTATTGCCATTATGGGTGTCCATCCTAGAAGTAGCTGAAAGAAGGACAGTGGAAAATCAGAAACCAAAAATTAAGGTAAATGGTATATAAAAAAAATGATTAAAACAATAATATATCCAACTCAAAAAAAAAAAAGCTGTCTTTTATCAGAAGTGGTGTATACCTAACCAAATGTTTGTCATATAGTATTACTTTATACTTTTTCCAATAGGAAGATAAAAATTGCAGTTCAAGAAAAAGAAAACTTACAGATACAGGAAGTTCAAATTATAAGATAGAACCAATACATACACATACACATATTGATTGTTGTTGGGTGGAGGTGGGACGTAAATAAACTGATGTTAAGATGTCAATTTCTCATTTAGTTGTGAATTATATTATAAAAATAAAATTATCTCCCTTTAAAGTGACTCAAAATGTATAGTTTCACCTTATTTTTACAGACTGTCTAGGCTATGAGAAAAGATACTGATTCCTTCCC